AGGAAAAAGCTCTGATGTATATATGATTGCTAGTTGCAGAGTCTAATTGCAGCTTTTATTCATAACTTCTCATACTTTCTCATATTCCAACATTTATGGTACAGTTGAAGACCTATACATTTCCAAAGTGATGTTAATGTCAGTGACTTTTACTTGCCACAGTAATGTGGGATTAGAGTCTTTCAGTAATTGAAACAATCAGCTAAAGTTTTCTACAAGTATTAGTGCTAAGTTGATAAACAAATGGCACATTTTTTCACTCTCTAGGAGTTTGGGACAGGCTGGTTTCTCTTCATTTTGGACAGTTTTAGGGTATTGCTGGATATGTCTTTGGAAAAATCATTAAATAAAACTTTCTTCTTGAGTTCCAGTCTAGGTAAAATCTAATCATCCCTTGAAGTTTTTTGAAAGAATAGGTGATGCCCACAAGGTCCTGGCTAATGTTTCCTGCTTTGAATTGTTAACTTGTAATTGCCATCATTCTGTGACCTGCTGCTGACACTTAGTAAGTCCCCCACCCCAGTCAGCCAATTTATCTCAATGTACATAACAATAGCCATATTTTCCTTGTTTAATAGTACTATTGGATGAGTGAGGGGCATGAAACACATGTTAAGAATCCCATTCTGTTCCAGTATCCATTGATATTCCACAGGGAGGCAACATAAATCTCCTATGACAAAAGTGACATACCAAGACTACTTTATGACATATAAAGATCTCAGACAAACATCTTGCTTAAAAACCCCTTTCCAGCAACTCACATTGTAGATGACTAAAGGCTGCAATGCAAGTCTTTACAGTAATGCACAGTAAAGGTTTTGAGAAGCTCTGTACAGATTGTGAAAGCACTGTTTGAAATCCAGTTGCATTCCATTTGTAGCTTTTTCTGGCTCTGCACATGGTATGGTCTGATGGGGTAGAGAGGGTTTTTTAAGAGTTATTTCAATGTCTCAAGAAGGGCCACCTATTTTTGAAACCATTCTCAAGACTCTACAAGTGTTTTTTATCCCACAGACTCTCAGCTAAGGTAATACCTGAGGTCTCTACGAACAAAATAGAAATATTTTGTAGTCAGTTTTGACAAATCAAGAAAAAACAGTAAGCAGTTCTTTGCATAAGAAGCAAAGGTGGAAAGCATGGAAGTGTTTCTCTGAAGGTATTATATAGCTTCCAACATAGCTAGGAATGGATATCTTGAGTAAGGTCATCATAAGAAGTAATGCAAATGATTTGCAGCAGTGAAAAGAGTTCCCAGTGGTATTTTCTGTAAGTACTGAAATAGGGTGCCAGAGGAGGTCAAGGAGTGCTTATCAGTGGTGATTTTTAAGAGATGATCAGATTAATTTCAGTATCTGATGCAATTTTCTGACCTGTGAGGCAGAATATGTTCAAGGAATACTGTTCACTACTGGCTTTTGCCGCTGGCAAAAGAAGGGAGCAGAGCATTTCTGGCAGACTCTACAGCAGTGGAGTGCAGACAAACCCACTTGCCCTCCAGCAGACCAGACTAGCAGAGACTCCTAGGTCTTTGTGGGCCAAATGGAGTCCACTCAGCAGAGCTGTTCAGGTTCACAGTTTTAGACTCATAGTGCCCAGAGACTGCCTTGCAACATTGGAAAGGTTTTTTCCCCTTTGCTAGGTACAGCTGATGTTGCCTGTCAGCTGTGGGATAAACTAGATGATCTTGCAAGACTTCTTTATCCAGTTTTGTGTGGTTCTCTGACTCTCTCTGGTCTATGTTTTAACTGTGAGGTAATTCTTTCAAGGGCAAAAAAAAATGGATTTGAAATTAAGTACTATGCAAAGCTGAATAAAAGTGAGCAATAAGCCATACCTATAATAGTATTCACCAGCTGGAGAGAAATTTGAAATGTCTGCTTGACAAAAAAATCCTCTAATACAAAATCTGAATGTATGCATTTTGTGTTAAGTGGAAGATGCAGATATCCCATGTGAAATTTATGATAGCGGTCCCTACATACAGGGCAGTTATTCTAAGAAATGTGGGATTCATAGAAATTGCTCCCTTCTTATTTGGAACTCCATGAAAGCCCTGGTACAAAACAGGAAAAACAACACAATTAGCCATGAGTATAAACACTGAAATCAGAGACAGATAATATGGTAGTGTCCTGTTGGAGATTGTTACTGTAGACTTCAAAAAGAAATCACATGAACAGGAGGGACCTTTTTGTTGTTTTCCTTAGTGTTGTACCTGGTTTTTCTCTTGGTTTTATATTTGTCCCTCCTAATGCTGGGATTGTGGAAAATGAATCTGCTATTGTGGTTAGTCTTCGGCTCCGGGCGGTGAAGGCTTGCATATAGTTTTGTGTACAGTATGCCTGTGCAACTTCCATCAGAAGCAGGAAATGTTTATTTAAGTTCTAAGGGGTGGGACAGTTGCTGTAGTTTTAGGTAATTTTAAACAAACTCTTTGAGCATCCTGTTTAAATAGAGTTAAGTAATCACACTTTTGTACTAGTTGGAAAAGAATTCCATATATGCATGATATGAATAAAATATCATCTTACAGAGCATACCAAGGTGATATACTTACCTGACTTCTTGTGCAATAAAAGTTGTATCTTTGACTTTTGTTTTGCAACAAGTTTAGTGGCTAAACACATTCTATTATGTAACAGTACTCGACTAGAGTATGAACTGTTTTGCATTTAAGTTTAATACATGTTGGAAACACGTATTAGTTTCCTTGATATTTTCAATGGTCTCTGGAGAAATCTAATTCAAACACAGCTTTCTGAAATTGGGAGGAAAAAAGTGTGTTCACACAAAAAACTTAGTTTAGGGAACTAGTGAGGATCAGGAAGAATTTATTCACACCCAATTGTACGAAAACATAAATGAAGGAAAAAATGGTTGTTGGAGTAGGGTGCTAAGATTTATCAAATGTGCATTTCACTTGAGGAGTCCATGTTCACTGGCTCTTCTGAATGATTTTAAGTATTGTAAGAGATGAACTGGGAGACAAGAAACAGTAGTGAAAAGATTTGTTCTCAGACTTGTGTCATGGATGCCCATCTCAGTTTTGAAACTAGGAGACAGATTGCATGACTTATTTTTGGTTTGTAATATTTCAGTAATGAGGCTATGCTGAACTGCATATTGGGTCCCCCAGCTGGTAGGACTCGTTTGAAAGGGAAAAAAAAAAAAAGTTTGTATTCTTCAAATTGCAGTGATAATTGCACATGGCCTTATGTCTATCAATGGGTTGTCTTTAGACTGCAATCTAATGTTAATGAGATTTTAATTGGAAAACAAACAAAGGACAGACAGGTTAATGACTGATAACAATTTTTAAAAAGTCTTTTAAGAGCTACACAATGATTATTGTAAACAATACATCAAAGTCTTTCTATGTCTAACTTTCATAAAGGGTTTACGTAGAAGCTTGTTCCTTAACAATGCTATTATTCCACATCTAAACAACTATTAGACTGTATAGTGTCATCTGTTAAATCAAAACTGATTGGCAAGATTATCTGGTCTTACTAGTAGGAAGGTCTTGGTCATTAATCACACCTCCACAAAAAGGAGCTGGATTGAATCTGTTATGTCCTTAGAGTTTACCACTGCTGGTGTTTCTGAAGATCTACCCTCCTTTTCCCAACTTAAAAAATGTATGTTATTCCAACAGAAACAAAATATAGAACTTCTATCTAGTAGAACTCATAATATCTAAAACCAGGCAAATATAAACCAGCAGGGAGTGCACATACTCTATAGTCAGATGTTAACAAAAAAAAAATATAAATAAAACTAAAAATCAGAAAATGGCTTTGATGAGGGAAATCTATGGCAATAATCAGAATAAAGTGGGAAGTATTAGTCAGAAGGATTTACTGTACAGCTGAAGGGTGTCTATATTGAATGTCAAGAAGGATGAAAAATCAAATTGGGACACAATTAACGGAATGGAATGAGAGAGGTGGAACAAGATTTCTAGTTTAAGTGACAAGAGTACTTCTCCAGATAGTGATAGGGACAAAGACTAGAAAAGAGGTTGCTTTTGGTGCCCAGTTTTGATGACACAAAGTGTGTAGGAGACTCTCAATTAAGAAAGTTGAGAGGTGAGACTGGAGTCATAGAGATATTAAGACAGGCATTTTGTATTCTGCTATAGTAGTTACATTTATGGTCAGAAAATACTATGGAAATACAGAGTGAAGTTGAACTTTTTTTGTTTTGACTTCTAGCCTGTTTATTTCATATCCAATTTTCTTTTAAAATCTTTTACCCATGCTCTCTGCTCCGCTTTTCTTTCCATTTGTTATTTTAAGTATTCTCATTCAACCATACCTTTTGAGAAATTCAAGGAAAAGCAGGTATGATTAAGGGCTAAAATAAACCTTGTAGAAGAATCTAATTACTTCAGAAAACATATTAACTTACTTTGCAGTACTTTTGTGCTTTATAGGTGCCAAGAGAGGATTAATCTGTAATCTCTTTGTTTGTGATTTTGCCTTTTATTTGAGTTTATATAATTAAAGAGTTCCCAGGACTGCTTTACATTTATTTTGTTCATCAAAACATGCTTCTCAAATGCTATGAAAATGGAGTCCAAAAATAATGCAGTCCAAACCAAAGCCATTCGGTTTTCTCTTGGAACACAACTGATGATAAATTCATACCTCGTATCTCATTTTTAACTGAGTAAATGCTGTGTTGTCCCTTAATGTATAATTCTTAAGAACATTCACTTTATATTCTCCTACTTCAGTGTTTTAATAAATCCTGGTGGCACATACCGCGAGATGCATATAATCAGGAATAATAAAGTTATTTCACTATTACTGTTTGAGGATGAAATCCTCTCTGCATTGAAGTCTCAAATATCTCATTGGGTCTCTCAATGTGTGTGCTTACATTATGACAGAAAGGAACTAGTCAGAGGGTTGGGGACCTATATTTTGGTCATTAACTTTCGATGAAAGATAGGGGAAAAAGTTTGAGTATCAAACAACTCTGTCGTTGTTGAGATTATGGGAATCAGGAGAAAAATGGACTTGCCAATCTCAGCTCATATTCATAAAAGTTTTTCTCTTCTTTTGTGTCTTCTTTTCCTGTAAATTTGAATCCCAGCTGATCATGTTATTGTCCTGACAAAAAAAAAAAAAAAAAAAAAAACGGAGGCTGCTTTTAAGAAAGTATTTTTCATAGGGACTGAATATATTTCATAAAAAAAGGTGGTATCTTCTAGTGTTGAAATTCTGACCTGCTGTGCATCTGCATGTTGTGCGTCGTATTGTTTACTCCATGACAGTGGATGAGAATTACTATTTTTCTTCTCTCAAAATCAAACTCTTTTCCCATACTCACTGTAAACAGAGAACAGAACTTTCAAACTATTTTTTCCTCTGAATTCTCATTAGAAAACTGAAACGTGTACCCAGGAAAGCTGGAAAAGTGACTCAAAATATCAGTCTGCAGCAGAAAAATGCAATAGCAGAGCAATTTTGATCTCTGAGCTGTTAATTCTGGTTTTAGTAGCTATGGTTTTGATAATGTGGTCAAGTAAGCTGCAGAATCTGTCAGAAATAGCCTTTCAAATGGAGAATGGGATGTGCATAAGGAAGGTATGAAAGAGGATTCCAGTCTCCAGCTCCGGAAACAGAGCTACTGCTAAAGGTTTTATTCAGACTGTCTAGTGAGAAAATACTCTGCTAAAGAGTCCGGGTTAAATTTTCAGTTAGCTGAACTGGTGATGTCCTACAAAGGTCCCAACTAAAAGAAAAGAACTTGAATATTTATCTAAACACGATTTCTGATATTTAAAATCAGCAGTTAGGCTTTTAGTGAATATGACAAAAAGCATTAGCTCTGTTTGAATCAAACACAGAGTATTTGAAAATTATACAGTGTATATCCTGATATGTTAGGAAATGACCCTCATCTATATAATTGTGTAAACCAGCCTTTTACTGGTGTTATCACTCTTGGGAGCAGCAGTTCCCAGCTCAGTAGCAAGTTGAGGATCACCATCTGGGAGTTACAGTTCTAAGCACCATCACTTTGCATCAGCATTGTTTGCTTTATACTTGCAATACAGGTGCAGCAAAATGATACCAATGTCGGGAACGAGAATGGCTACTAAGGAGAATGGAAATTGCAGCTTCCTCTTCCTGGTTATGCCCACTCACATCCAGACTGTTGACTTTGGAAAGGTTAAAGTAGCAGTGTAAGAAAGTTCAATTTCAGCAAGTGTTGGGAGAAGTTAGTTAGCCAAGTGTTAGTAATGCTCTCCTCAGCTTGCAATCCAAATGGGTTTTGTACTTGAAACATTGAACTGTATTCATGTGAGATAATCTTAGGCAATGGGCTTCAAAGAGACACTTGTACCAAAACTGCTCTTCAGAGATAGTCTGTAGTGTGGTTATGGGGAGCTCAGCAAAGGACAATGCCTGCATCTTCTTCTTAGGGATGTCCTGTCATCTTACACCACATTCCAGTACAAATATAGCTATGCTTTTGAGTGACTTCATGACAGAACTGACTGCATTGGTGTTATCCTTCAGCTCTAGCTTCTGAAATTTCCCAAATCTTCGTTTGTGAAGATGAGCTTCTGAAATCCTAAGACCATCTAACAACTATCAGATTTTCTTTTAAAAGCAAGGCTGTAATTCTTGTCGGTTCCAGAGAGAATCAGACAGACAGCACAAGGACCCATATTTTTGCTTAAAAGAAGCAAAGAGGGTGGTACTTAAAGCCTACACTAATGTCAGAAGATCTGGACTATGATCTTGAATATTTCATATCAGCAGAACTGAGCACTGCAAAAGAACAAGACATGGCTCTGAAGCCATACTCTTGAGTGTGATGCAGCCAGAAGCTTCAATGGTATTCTTCAGTAGGTTTTCCTTCCTAGAGAATGGTAAGAAAAATGTTGGAAAATGTACCTAAGTCATAAGCAATGTTTTACCAAGAACACCACTCTACCTGGCATTCTGAATTGGGTCCAGTCTCGCAGTTTCCATGTTCCCAAGATACAGGGGGAAAGGTGCAAAGTTTTTTTCTGCATCCTCTTTCTGTAATCAGCAAAAAGTCAGACAAACATTTCTAACCTCCTCCAGGAAACATCCCTGATAAGTGTAACATTTAGGCATTTAATGAGCAGGATTAATGCACATGCTTGAGTTTAAGGATATTTTTAAGAGCTGTGCTCTGAATCTGAATCGTAGGGTAGATGATTAAAGACAAATTACAAACATTTATGAATATCTGAATTCACATATATAAACTGTGTAATCTGAAGTCTTGGATTCACTTGTGAGAGGTTAATTAACTTTGACCTTGTGTTGCTTTTCCTTGCCCAAAACAATGTCACATCTTGTCTCCTTTTCTTCAACCCCACACACCAAACACCATGAACTACAGCCAAACTGCACTGTGACATCAGAGTTGCAAAGGGGCTCCCTTTGGTGAAGTCCTGTGCTTACACACCTGCGACCAGAGAACAAAATGTTTGTGTCACATCACATGGGAATTGCCTCCACCTCTAACTAAACTCG